ACTTAACTCAAACTTAACTCAGACTTAACTCAGACTTAACTTAACTCAAACTTAACTCAGACTTAACTCAGACTTAACTTAACTCAAACTTAACTCAGACTTAACTCAGACTTAACTTAACTCAAACTTAACTCAGACTTAACTCAGACTTAACTTAACTCAAACTTAACTCAGACTTAACTCAGACTTAACTTAACTCAAACTTAACTCAAACTTAACTCAGACTTCCCAGAATTCACTGTAATCCACTTGTGAAACTGTAAAGTCAGACTTCTCCGACTTCAGGAAGCCAGAGCTGTGACTTTAACTTGGAGTTTGGTGAGTTTCAAGAAACGGAGCCCAGATCCTCCACTGTTGGTTGTTTCACAACACTGTTCTGACAGGAATTCAAACTCAAACAAAACATCTGGAATGTGAGGATAAACAGAGAGAGGGAGAGAGAGAGAGCGTTCTAGTTGAGCAACACTGATTTCTCAGATTAATCTTGTTCCAACATGAACTGGATCTTCACAGGTCGATGACCTCACATTCCTGTTCTTCATCCTGTTTCACTTCAGAACTGTTGTTTGTTTGATTGTTTGTTTGTTTGATTGTTTGTTTGTTTGATTGTTTGTTTGTTTGATTGTTTTGTTTGTTTGATGATTGTTTGTTTGTTTGATTGTTTGTTTGTTTGATTGTTTGTTTGTTTGATTGTTTGTTTGTTTGATTGTTTGTTTGTTTGTTTGTAACCTCACCTCTCGCTCCATGCTCTTGGGGAAGAAGAGATAAGGCAGCGCGGCGAGGAGGAGGAGGCAGGAGGCCAGCAGGAAGCCCAGCCACCAGGCCCCCACCCAGCGCAGGTCTTTGGAGTCCAGCTGAATCTGGTCTGAGGAGCAGAAGGAGGTCAACGTGTGGACAACCCCACCTCCTCCCCTCTTCCTCCTTCACCTCCTCCTGCGTACCTTTGGAAAGTTTGTCAAAGTCCACGTAGAACCTCAGCATCATGGAGCCGGTGATGAAGCCGAGCGCCGGTCCCACGGAGGTGGCGGCGAAGACGATTCCTGGGACAGAAAGGACAGAACAAACCGTGTCAGCCTGGGGTCCGCAGACACCCCCCGGGGTGACCACAGGGGGTGCCGTTGGCCCGGTTCAGTTGGCGGGGCGGCCCCTCCTACCCAGGTAGAGGGGGGAGTTCCTCCTGCTGGCGTAGTCGTCGATGTAAGAGATGCCGAAGGGTTGGATGGGCACGGACGCCACGCCCAGCAGCAGCTGAGCCAGCAGCAGCAGAGGGTACGCCCCCTGCTGGCCGTCGCTCTGCTGCTGACTGCAGCTCTGGTTAGAAGATGAGGAGGTGAGGTTTGATTGGCAGAGGTCGGAGGTGAGGGCGGGGGCTGCTGGGAAACAGGGGAGAAGGTGAGTGTGTGTGTGCACCTGTGTGTGTGTGTGTGTGCACGTGTGTGTGTCTCACAGCTGATACTGGTGCTGTGTTCGTATGGTCCACTCAGGAAGTGAGGCAGCGCCATCAGCAGGGAGGACAGAGATGCCAGCAAAGCTCCGCCCCCGATGAACCGCGGCCGATGAACCCGACTGCCGAGAAAACTCACAAAGACGATGAGGATGGTGTTCCCAACCTACACACACACACACACACACACACACTCAGTCCAACACCAGGACCAGGACCAGGACCAGGACCAGCTGTGAAGTTTAGTCTAACTCTACAACTGAGAAGGTTCCACTGGTAGAACCACAGCTGTGGTTCCTTCTGACCATCACTGACCGTCACTGACCTCGTTAAAAGACGCCAGCAGACCCGACCTCTGGCTGGACAGGCCATAGCGCCTCTCGATGGTGGAGATGGAGCTCTTCATGTAGCCTGAGACCAGCAGCTGAGCCAGCTGCAGCAGACTGTGGCAGAAGACGAAGAACTGCAGAGACAAGAAGCTCCAGAGGTTACTGCTCCCAGACAGTCACAGCGCCACCTGCTGCACAGGCAGAGAAGCACATTCTAAAAAAGACTCTGGGTCAGTAACTGACACCAGTGTCTGTGATGGTGTTGACCACACCCCCGCCTCAGGCTGCCGTCAGACCCACAGTTCAATGTTGGATCAATGAACTGCATCCATCATCCATCCATCCATCCATCGTTTCATCCATCGTTTTATCCATTCATCCATCAATGATGACGTACCTTGACACTGTGGAACAAACTTCGTTGTCGAGCATATGCTCTAGGGGTCAAAGGGTCAGAGGTCACTCCGGGGTCACAGGTTCCCATGGTCAAACTTCTGACCCACAGAAGTGTGTGATCGACCGGAGAAGAAACACAAAACACAGTAAGGAATCAAGCCGTGGTTCACAGACGGTTTCCTTCTATATTTGGTCAAACGTTGTCAGTCTGTGCCTTTGACTTCCTCTCATCTCTGATCAGGCTAACGTTCAGCCGTGATCGGGTTATTTTAACTTACGACTGAACCCAACTCATATGACGCTGAGCCTCGACTGTCACTGGTCCTGTCACTGGTTCTGTCACTGGTTCCTTCCTCAGATTATTTCAGTTTGGACTTCTTTTCTCGACATGTTTTTTTTCTCTACATTTTGATTGGTCTGTTGACGTCTCTGAACGCTGAACAGTAATCTATGATGGGGCAGTGGTGGCTCAGTGGTTAACCAGGTCGACTTGGGTCCAGAAAGATTCAGGTTCGAGTCCACCTCCACTGAGGTGCACCGTCCTCACACACTGCTGCCCCCTGCTGGCTGTGGTGATGGATTAAAAGCAGAGGTCACATTTGGTTGTGTGCAGTGGTGCAGTGGTGCAGTGGTGTGTCACAGTGACAACTAGTTCACTTTCCTTTCCTATTTTACAGGTGTGTACGATGCCCGGTCACATGACCTGACAGAGCTGACCTCAGACGACCTCAGCGCCACACGTTAATCTGACAGGTAAAAACAAACTGACACTCGTCTGTGCTGCAGCCGTGTTCTGTCACATTACCTCAGCGTGGAGCGGGTTCTCTGAAGAAGGTGAAGTTCCACTGCGACGTTCTCCCACAGCAGCAACAGCAGCAGCAGCACCGGCAGCAGCAGCAACGGCAGCAGCAGCAGTAACGGCAGCAGCAGCACTTTCACTTGCTGTAGCTCACACTTGTGATTTCATGTTCCGTCACTCCTCCGATGGGGGGGGGAGGGTTTGGAATTTGACCCCTCGGCTGCTCAGGGTGGAACAGGAAGAAAACAAGGAAAGAAAGTGAGTGGACTTTCCATGGAAACTGAAGTAGTTGGCATTCAGACAAAGTTTGACACCAAACACTGAACGTTCTCATTACTGTTGGACTGATAGTTATTCAGAACAAATGTCTCCTCCTGATTGGTTCCTTCTTCAGTCACATGTTTGTCTGTTTTTGTTTTGTTTTTTTTTGTCAAGTCAACTTGTTGTTTGTTTGATTTTCAAACGTCGTCACATGCGCTTGAAAAACTATCATGTCAGCACTGCGACACCTACTGGCTAAAACGTGGAACAGTAGGACACCAGGAATGAAATCAGCAAATGTCTGTCTGTATCCAATGAAAACGCTTGACTTCAGGTTTTGACCATGTGACATGAAAACGTTTGGCCTGGACAGAGAACAGAGAGAAAACGGTTGGAAAAGAAACCACTAAACACAACCACAAAAATGTTGGACCGGTATTCAACCACCAACCTGCCGTTAAGATCGAGTTTTTACCCTGACACTAAAGTATTTAATATCGGGGAGAGAAAAAAACTTTCCTGACCGGTGCAGTAGAGGGCGCTCCCTGGAACACCGAGAATAAGAACAAAAGTTCCTGCTTAAAAACTGTGACAACATTGTCAAACAAACGAAGTAAAAAACGGACCAACCACATCAACAGGAAAAGAAAGTTCCAGAACCTTCAACACCAAAGTCTTCAGAGTTGTTGTTGTTTCTCAGGACGCGATGATGCAACGCATGACTTTTGACTTAACTTTTGTGGATGAACTTGAAGTGTTTTTCACCCGCAGCTGTCCCCCTGCTGGGAGCTCAGGGGCTGCGCTGCCCCCTAATGTTGCATCAGTTTCATCAGTGTGCGTACGTTCTTCGGTTTCGGTGATGAAACAGCGGTGATCATTAACGAGGTCCGCTGTGAGCGCACGTCCTCACCGACATCATCAACAGTATCTGCTGCTAATTATCCTCCCAGGAGCGCAGAGTCCCAGTCACTGGTGCTGTTTGTCACCGTGACAGGGATGACATCATCACCTGTGGGGACACGAGTGAACAAACAACAAACTTCAACCTTTAACTTTGACAGAAGAGTCAAAGGTCAAACTGCACCGACCCTGGTGAATTCTCAGAGACTGACGCACTTCTTTTGGCTTGGTCAGTACCAGAACCACGTAGAACCAGTGAAGTGTTCAGGATCGTCAGGAGATTCAGGTTCTCATTGTTTATATTTAGGGTTTGTTTTTTTTCTAGTTTCTCTCTGTGTGAACAGGTTCCTTACACATAAACACACGTTCACGTTGACTCTGAGAATGAAAAGTTTTTCAACCAGATTGAAGTCAGGGACGCAGTGGATCCTGTCAGCCATCTGGGGGCAGCAAATTAGTGGCAGAGACACAACCAGCCAACCACTGAGGGGCAAACCTGAGGGGCAAACCTGAGGGGCAAACCTGAGGTGGGGGGCAGGGGGGGAGAAGCTGAGATTCCTGTTGGTAAAGTTGGACTTCCTGTGTCTGAGTCGATGACAGCGACCTGTCAGTGACGTCCTGTTCTGGAGACGTCAAGTCCCACGACGACGGCTTCTCTACATAAAGTCACAGCAGCTCCGACATCCGTCACATCATCAACAGAACCAACGCCTCCACGGTCGTTTGTTGAACAGGTAAAACCTCAGTATACTGCCACCTGTGGTGGAGACGTCCTCATCACACTTCCTGTTGCTTCTGTTGCAGGTTGATGGAAAACTTCACGTTGAACAGCTTCACCCTGCAGCTGGAGGGTTTGACGGTGACGGAGGTTTCCGTCTACCCCGTCTTCTTCTTCTTCTTCCTCTCCTACCTGGTCATCATCGTCATGAACGTGGGCATCGTCTTCCTGGTTCTATTTGACAAGAACCTCCACCAGCCCATGTACCTGCTCTTCTGTAACCTGCCCATCAACGACCTCATCGGAAACTCCATCATGGTCCCTCGGCTGCTCTCCGACATCCTGAACCCCCCCTCCGAACGCCTCATCATTACGAGTGTGTGGTCCAGGCCTTCACCACCCACATGTTCGGCACCACCTCCCACACCGTGCTCATGACCATGGCCTTTGACAGGTACGTGGCCATCTGTAACCCCCTGCGCTACAGCGTCATCATGACCAACAGAATGGTGGTCAAGCTGACAGTGTCTGCCTGGGGGGTGGCCTTTGTGTTGGTGGGGATTCTGCTGGGTCTGACAGTGAGGCTGAACAGATGCAGGACTCTGATCATGAATCCTTACTGCGACAACGCCTCTCTCTTCAAACTGTCCTGTGAGAGCGTCTTCATCAACAACGTCTACGGCCTGACCTTCACCGTGGTCTTGTTCACAGCCTCCATCGGCAGCATGGTTCTCACCTACGCTAAGATCATTGTGGTGTGTCTGACCAGTAGAAACAAGTCTCTGAACAGTAAAGCTCTGAAGACCTGCAGCACTCATTTGGTCCTGTATCTGATGATGCTGATCAGTGGCTTCATCGTCATCATCCTCCACCGTTTCCCTCAGTTCTCCTTCTACAGGAAACTCAGTGCCATTCTGTTCCACATCATCCCTGGAAGCCTTAACCCTGTTATTTATGGAGTGCAGTCTGCAGAGATTCGCAAATTTGTATCTAAACTGTTTCAGAAGAGAAAGTCGTCTTTGTGATCATCTCCCTTCAACCCCTCACTAACATGGTTCACTAACATGGTTCAGATGAACCAACGTCCTCATATAACGTCTCTGACCTCACATGAGGTCAAAGTACAGAATGACAAAAAGTTTCAATAAACAAAACTGAACAACGACACTGAACAATGAACCCCTGTGTGTGTGTGTGTGTGTGTGTGTGTGTGTGTGTTTGCAGGTTAGAGATTAGGTTAAATGTTCACCAGCGTGGTGCCCGGGGTCACCTGGTAGCCCCCGTGGATGTACAAATGGGTTCAGTGACGATGGTCATGACAACATCGTTCAGGAAGTCTCTATGTTACTAAGTGTCCTTGAAGTATGCAGTAATAGTATTTTATATTACTGCATATTTATTTAGATTTTTAAATTTGGGGTGTGTTTGGGTCTGGGGTCATGACCCATCAATTGACCCTAACAGTGACCCTGATGATGAGATGGACACATTAAAGTAAGAGATGCTTAAAAATGGCTAATGGTTAGCATTAACGTGTGTTTGTTTACACATTTCCTCTTGGTCTGAGTGAGGTGGAAACACGGGCTGCTGCTGATGTCACTGATGATGACGCTAACACCACCTTGAGGAGCAGCAGGGGTATAAAGGACTGGGTTTTACTCAGCTCAGGGAGGAGGGGGCGCTAATGTCAGCACAGGTGAGAGTGATGCGTACGAACACAGATCCTTCCTTCAGTGTTTGTTTTTATTTATTTTAAAAGCTATTTTAAAAGTTTTAACAATGATTTTTACGTGTTATGTGAAATGTTGTCGTCAGAGTTGATCAGTCTTTAACTGAAATCAGAAAAAAGAGTTTTTAAAGACGTGTCTTTGACCTGTGTTGTTTCTAAACCAGTGATTTAACAGTGAGGTCACAAAACAACCAGTGTTGGGGCCGAAAGTGAAATCAAATAAATCAATACATCATTGAATAATTAGATAAATGTGTCATTATTAATTTAAATGAATAATAAAATATAATAATGAAACAATACATAATAAAATGTTTTTAAAGTAAAACATATATAATGATGTCATGATGTCATTTTTTAATCAAATATTTCAGTTCCAACATGAATTCATTCTATCTGTCAAACTCGCCCATCAAAGTCAGTGGGCGGGGCTAACGATGGTCTATTCTGATCCATTGGTCAGAAACAGCATGACTGGAGACAGACGGAGGAACTGAGCGGGAGAATGCAGCGATGTCCGAGGTGTCAGAGAGGACCACCAGGGGGCACACGGTACCGGAGGTTTAAGACACTGTGACTGAGAATCCACAGAGAACTCTATGCCCCACAATGCACCGGGTGGTCGAACGGTGCATGTGTGTGTTGTGCCTGTTTTGCCCAGGTACCGCAGTCACAGTCACTGTGGGGTAAATAACCTGGTGTGGAAATAAATCCTGCAGCTTCACTGACTTCTTCCAATGTATTTTCTGCATGTCTTGGCTCGACATCGTCATAGAAACGTCATCGTCTGCCATTACTTCTCTCCAGTCATGCTGTTTCCGGCCAACGGACCCGACTAGGTTGGCGTTAGCCCCGCCCGCTGACTTTGACTCATTCATATATTTAACTCCAATTGTAATTAATTAATGACACGTTTCATTAATTAAATGTAATTAATTAACGGTTTATTTGTTTAACGTTGACACTTTTAGTCGTCCACAGTGTCAAAATATAATTCAATTGATAAAAGGTTGTAAAATGAACGAATTGTGATAAATTGCATTTAATAAATCAACAGCACTCAACAATCAACACTTTACACAATAATCTGGATATTTTAATGAATATAAATTTAATTGTACGACAGGATTTGGAGAACAAACACGTTAAAGAAGTACGCCTCTGTCTCTATCAATACTGTCGTAGCTACCGTTAGCTCTGGACTGTCGTAGCTACCGTTAGCTTTGGAGTCTGTACCAGGGCTGTTGTAGCCAACGTTAGCTCTGGACTGTTGTAGCTACCGTTAGCTCTGTACTGTTGTAGCTAACGTTAGCTTTGGAGTCTGTACCAGGGCTGTTGTAGCCAACGTTAGCTCTGGACTGTTGTAGCTACCGTTAGCTCTGTACTGTTGTAGCTAACGTTAGCTCTGTACTGTTGTAGCTAACGTTAGCTTTGGAGTCTGTACCAGGGCTGTTGTAGCCAACGTTAGCTCTGGACTGTTGTAGCTACCGTTAGCTCTGTACTGTTGTAGCTAACGTTAGCTCTGTACTGTTGTAGCTAACGTTAGCTTTGGAGTCTGTACCAGGGCTGTTGTAGCCAACGTTAGCTCTGGACTGTTGTAGCTACCGTTAGCTCTGTACTGTTGTAGCTAACGTTAGCTCTGTACTGTTGTAGCTAACGTTAGCTTTGGAGTCTGTACCAGGGCTGTTGTAGCCAACGTTAGCTCTGGACTGTTGTAGCTACCGTTAGCTCTGTACTGTTGTAGCTAACGTTAGCTTTGGAGTCTGTACCAGGGCTGTTGTAGCTAACGTTAGCTCTGGACTGTTGTAGCCAACGTTAGCTCTGGACTGTTGTAGCTACCGTTAGCTCTGTACTGTTGTAGCTAACGTTAGCTTTGGAGTCTGTACCGGGGCTTTTGTAGCCAGCGTTAGCTCTGGCCTGTTGTAGCCAACGTTAGCTCTGGTGTCTGTACCAGGGCTGTTGTAGCTACATAAATCCAGCAGCAGGATCTGATCCAAGTTCATCAGGAAGTAAAAAAAATGGACTGGATTTAGTTTGAATCAGTTTGAATTCCCAACTTGACCTCAGAGACAGAGACAGTGTGCTGAACCACAGAAAGATATTTTTCATATTTGAATGGATTTGAAGATTTTCTGATGGTAAAGTTAGCCTACGTCCTAACTGTGTGGTGTTTCTTTCTGCTCGTCTTTCTTCAGCCTTTGAATGATGGAGAATCAGACTGACATCCTGCTACTGGAGGGGCTAAAGGTTACGCCCCAGTCCTCCGTCCCCACCTTTGTCCTCCTCCTCATCATCTACATCTTCATCATGGTGTCTCACCTTGGCCTGGTCCTGCTCATCGTCATGGAGCGCAGCCTCCATCAGCCCATGTACCTGCTCTTCTGTAACATGAGCCTGAACGATGCCTTCGGGGCCTCCACCATAATTCCGCCCATTCTAATTGACTTGTTTGCTGTGGCAACAGAGCGCTACATCAGCTACGCCCACTGTGTTGTTCAGGCGTTCTGTGCTCACTTTCACGCCAGCACCTCACACACTGTGCTCATGGCCATGACCTTTGACCGCTACATGGCCATCTGCAACCCACTGCGCTACACCACCGTTATGACCCATAGGATGGTGGTGCTGCTGTCGATGGTAGCGTGGGGGGTGTCTCTCCTGCTGGTGGCGATCCTTGTGGCCCTCAGCGTGCGTCTGTCACGATGCAGACGGTTAGTTTCCAACCCCTTCTGTGACAACGCCTCGCTTTTCAAGCTCTCCTGCGACAGCGTCCTCATCAACAACATCTACGGCCTGACTTACACCATCCTCCTGCTCGGCTCCTCCCTCGGCAGTTTTCTGCTCACGTACATACGTATCGCCGCCGTATGCCTGAGCGGCCGAAACAAGGTTTTGAACGGGCGAGCGCTGCAGACCTGCGCTTCTCACCTGGTCGTCTACGCCATCATGTTCATGTCAGGCATCATCATCATCACCCTCCACCGCTTCCCACAGTTGTCCGACCAGAGGAAACTAGCCTCCATGTTGTTCCACGTGGTGCCACCTGCACTGAACGCCATCACCTACGGCCTTCAGATCAAAGTAGTGAGACAGAAAATCCTCCTCAGGTTCCAGACAAAAACAACACCATTGTTTTAATAGAAATGTCTTTGTTTTTACTGTGTTTTCAATAAGGATTAAAAAATGGAACCACATCCCATCATCACCAGTCATCCCAGAGAAAATCTGAGATTTTAGTTCAGACCAAAGTCCATTTGTGTTGCTCAAACAAACCTGAACAAAGCATTTCCAAAAGTGAAGCTAAAAAATACACTTTGTGATGTAGGCTGCAGGTAAAAAATAATAAAATAAACAACAAATAACATTAAGATATTTTTCCAGTCTTCAAGATGTATTACATTTTATTTTGGCAAATTCAAAGCAAAAGCATTCAAACATTACAACTTTATTGTAATATGAATCAAAACATAGTGTTTTGTCAAATGTACAAGTTCTCTAAAGCTTCCTCTGATAGAACGGCTACAGTCTCTGAGTGGAGGCCACACAGTCGTCAGTGTCTTGTGAGGACAGTGAAGGCAGCACCGCGGCCAGCAGTAAGACGAATAATCAGTTGAGATACATTTGGATGAAACCAGGAACTTAAAATCATCAGGTAGAAAAAATTAAAAACCACATCAACCGGTCGTCAGTTACAAATGAAAACACACAGGTTAGCACCGTGGCTGAATTTTTTTGCGCTGAAACAAATTGGACAAACATTTGTGTATTTCCTGCGACTGCAGGCCATAGATGACGGGATTCAAACTGCCAGGGACAATGTTGAAGAGAAGGGCAGAGATCTTTCTGTACTCTGCGTACTGAGGGAACCGATGCATGGCGATGAGGACCATCCCACTGACCAGCATCATCAGGTACACACACAGGTGTGTGCTGCAGGTCTTCAGGGCTTTTCCGTTCAAAGACCTGCTCTTGCTGTTCAAACACGCCACCATGATCCTCCAGTAGGTGAGGACGATACAACCAATGGATGACGAGAGCAGCAGCACGGTGAACGTCAGGCCGTAAATGTTGTTGATTAACGCGTTTTCACAGGAGAGTTTGTACAGAGAGGCGTTGTCACAGTAAGTGTTGGTGATCAGAGTCCGACAACGATTGAGTCGAGCCGTCAGGCTGAGCAGAACCACCACCAGGACAAAGGCCACGCCCCACGCCGACAGCGTCAGTTTAATCACCATCTTGTCCGTCATGACGTTGGCGTAGCGTAGAGGGTTACAGATGGCTACGTATCTGTCGAAGGCCATGATCATGAGCACGGTGTGAGCGTTAGTGCCCGACAAGTGCGCAGTGAACGCTTGCATCAAACAGTGATAATAGTGAATAAAGCGTTCAGACGGTGGCACCAGGATGTCAGCGAGCACTCGAGGAACAAGCAATGAATTTGCCATCACGTCGTTGACCGACAGGTTACAGAAGAGCAGGTACATGGGCTGGTGCAGGCTCCTGTCCATCCAGATCAAGGCCAGGATGCCCAGGTTGGCAACAAAGATGAAAACGTACGTGAGAAGGAGGAGGACGAAGATGGGGTACTTGGAAGTCTTGGTGACCTTTAACCCCTCAAGCTGCAGTACAAGGCTGTTGTGGGTGAGGTTTTCCATCTGGGTTGCTGTAATCATTACAAACAAATCAAAGTTTAATCACGCTTGAATGTGGCTGCATCAGTCTACAAACATGAGGATGAACTACAGTGACACGTGAGCTCGGAGTCCTCTGCTTACACTCTAACTTTAAGACTTTGTTCAGATATACTGTAGTGACACACTCTGACCACTGGAGGCAGCAGTCTACCAGCAGCTCCAGTGTCTCTGTAAAAACAACCTACAGAGTTACTGTTCATTAAACCTGAAACCAAGAACCAGTAAAGGGTTCTGAGCTCGGTCCAATGGCAGCCATGTTTTCACTGAGGTGGAGCCTCAGGAAAACAATGAAGTTTTAATGACAAATAAACAAAAAACAAAAACATGATTGTGAATGTGAAAGTCCATAAAGATTAAAACTCTGAACACAGATGGTTGATGGGTTCGTTAACTGATCCATCCCTGATGGACCTGGTCCACCAGAGTCACCTGGTCAACAGCTGTTCGAAGGTCATTCAAATGAACTGAAATCTTACGAACAAGTAAGAAAAAAAAAAAAACAGACAACGTGAAAGAAAAGAAGCTCCAGAAGTCTACGCAGTTTTTCACACTGAGTCTGTCTGTGTGTGTGGGTGTGGGGGGGGGGGGGGCAGTTGGGAGTGGGGGAGTGAACACATCACCTTCAGCCTCCTGCTCCTGCTCCACACACTCAGCACAGCTTCTGTGCTGGTTTTAATAACATAACTGCTCCCACGAAGGGTGGGGGTCAGGGTGGAGGGGGCGGGGGGACAAAGACGTGATGTCATGGTTCTGGTATAGTGTCAGAGGATGGCAGCAGTGAAGTGAAGACGGTTGGACATTTGGATTAGTCACAGTTATTTCATAACTCAGTTTCCAAACACAAAAAAATTAAATAAAGATCAAATAAAGAATCAAATACGAGATCTCAAGCTTTAAACGTTTTACTTGCAGCAAGGAGTTCAGAACAATGGTTCCATTCAGAACTGCACTGAGGAACTCCTCAGTGCTCAAAGCACAAATACAGGTTTTTTACACACACATCAATGGTCAGAACCTTAACCCTTTACAGCCATGTGGTGTTCACGCACCAGATTTTCCACCAATAGAAAACATGAACTGAGCTGTTGTGCTCAGTAACTCAGGTTAGATCAAAGAAATACACTTTGGAGTCTTTTCCTTTTTCATGTTCTGTTTTCCTCATTATTTGGGCAGAGAAACTGGACCAGGTTCTGTGACCCGTCTCTATCTCCATCAGTACCAAACACCATCCTGATATGTAAACCATCAGCACTTCTCCTTTTAGTACAGCATTTAAAAACAAACAATATAAATTGATATGGAAACTTAATACAATGACACATGATACATGAAATGATACATTTAAAATACAAATCTAAATATATTTTAGTACAAATATATAAACTAATTAGTTGTAGATTTAACAAAATAAGAGATAAACAAGGTTCACCATGGATCAACAACAAAGGTTAACATAACTCAATGCTGAATATTGTGATTTAAACTAACTAAGAAATACTTTTAACCATTTTAATGACATGTTGTTTCATTATTATAATTACAAAAGCCTTAGTTAAAAGCTGAACACAGATCATAAATGAACAAAATGAACTGACAAATAGCAAAACATCATGAAAAAATAAAAACATTTAGAAGAGCAAAACATTTCACATCTAAGTCATTTGAAAGCGTTAACTGTTTTGAATTGAAAGAGTCTGGACATGGATCTACAGATTTCTGCAGACTGCACTCCATAAATAACAGGGTTAAGGCTTCCAGGGATGATGTGGAACAGAATGGCACTGAGTTTCCTGTAGAAGGAGAACTGAGGGAAACGGTGGAGGATGATGACGATGAAGCCACTGATCAGCATCATCAGATACAGGACCAAATGAGTGCTGCAGGTCTTCAGAGCTTTACTGTTCAGAGACTTGTTTCTACTGGTCAGACACACCACAATGATCTTAGCGTAGGTGAGAACCATGCTGCCGATGGAGGCTGTGAACAAGACCACGGTGAAGGTCAGGCCGTAGACGTTGTTGATGAAGACGCTCTCACAGGACAGTTTGAAGAGAGAGGCGTTGTCGCAGTAAGGATTCATGATCAGAGTCCTGCATCTGTTCAGCCTCACTGTCAGACCCAGCAGAATCCCCACCAACACAAAGGCCACCCCCCAGGCAGACACTGTCAGCTTGACCACCATTCTGTTGGTCATGATGACGCTGTAGCGCAGGGGGTTACAGATGGCCACGTACCTGTCAAAGGCCATGGTCATCAGCACGGTATGGGAGGTTGTAAAAGTCAGTTTAACCTTTTGGACCAGGCCACAGATATTAAGTGCTGTGCTTTTAACAGACAGTTCATCTGAGCTCAGATCTGTGCAGAATGAAATCATTTGAAAGCGTTAACTGTTTTGAATTGAAAGAGTCTGGACATGGATCTACAGATTTCTGCAGACTGCACTCCATAAATAACAGGGTTAAGGCTTCCAGGGATGATGTGGAACAGAATGGCACTGAGTTTCCTGTAGAAGGAGAACTGAGGGAAACGGTGGAGGATGATGACGATGAAGCCACTGATCAGCATCATCAGATACAGGACCAAATGAGTGCTGCAGGTCTTCAGAGCTTTACTGTTCAGAGACTTGTTTCTACTGGTCAGACACACCACAATGATCTTAGCGTAGGTGAGAACCATGCTGCCGATGGAGGCTGTGAACAAGACCACGGTGAAGGTCAGGCCGTAGACGTTGTTGATGAAGACGCTCTCACAGGACAGTTTGAAGAGAGAGGCGTTGTCGCAGTAAGGATTCATGATCAGAGTCCTGCATCTGTTCAGCCTCACTGTCAGACCCAGCAGAATCCCCACCAACACAAAGGCCACCCCCCAGGCAGACACTGTCAGCTTGACCACCATTCTGTTGGTCATGATGACGCTGTAGCGCAGGGGGTTACAGATGGCCACGTACCTGTCAAAGGCCATGGTCATGAGCACGGTGTGAGTTGTTGCAGCAAATGTGTGAACGGTGAAGGCCTGGACCACACACTCGTAATAACTGATGACACGTTTAGAAGAAGGACGCAGCATATCTATGAGCAGACGAGGGACCAGGATGGAGTTGCCAACAATGTCATTTACAGAAAGGTTACAGAAAAGAAGGTACATGGGCTGGTGAAGCTTCCTGTCAGTGAAAATGAGGAGAATGATGCCCACATTCACAATGATTATAAACAAGTAGAACAGGAGGAAACAGAGGAAGACGGGGTACAGAGCGTCCTCTGACAGGTTCAAGTCCTCCAGCTGCAGCAGGAAGCTGTTCAATGTAAAGTTTTCCATCAACCTGAAAGAAAAAAACAGACATCACAAAAAATGAAATTGATGTGATGACAAAATATTATATTATAAGTGAGATGGCAAAGTATTTTGTAAAGACGTAAAGAATAACAACAACAAATGTAAAAGCCGTAAAACAAAATCAGATTTCAATTCAGAGAGGGAAACCACAGAGATGCTGGTACGAGGTCCTACCAGCAGGGAGGCGTCCGGTTCTACTGCCTTTTTCACCTGTCTGGTTCCAGGTTGCTGTTCTTCTGTGTGGGCATATTTTTATAGTCAGTTTTATTCTCAATGGACGTATTTTCCCTATGACCACTATGAAGTCATGATGATAATTATCAGTTGGGTTGGGTAACAGTGAAAAGTGACAGACCTCTTTTAATCTTTACAAACAAAACAACAGCACCAGCATCACAGTTCATCACAAACTACAGATAAATATCTAAATATTAATAAATAAATATCCCTCCATGAGCTACAAGATGTCGTAGAGAGGACTGCAGGTCCCAGTTATCCTGGAAGCTGGTTGTCTGGGACTCTACCTACTTAAGTAAACATTAAACGTATAGCCCTGTCGACCATTACATCTCAAATCCATCACTAAACCTTAATGGTGATTTTTCTCTGGGGGTCATCTTCCACGCATATTTAAATTAGAACGCAGATTTGAGTCTGAAAACTAGTTGCTCTCTGCTCTGACTAATTTCTACAACAAATCATTTAAATGACCTACGATGTATAAGTACAAAGCTGTCAAAAGCTATTTAATTTCTGTAGATAGAAGCAACAATCTCATAATAAAAGGGCAAGGTGCCCCTGTGGAAATGGAACATAGAAGTGGTTTAATTAATAATGAAACAATTAATAATACCAATACTATAGAAATCTCATGTATATATGCTTTAAACAACACGTACTAATGTTATTATTTTTAGTGACTAGCCGACAGAATGCGCTGCTTAGTGAAAAAACGTATAGAAAAACGAATGATAAAACCTTTAGTAACTCACATGAAAACTCAAAGGCAAGATTTTAATAATATAATGTAGTAAGGACCTTATGCAAATCAGGGCCCAAGTGTAAAATGTGCTATGTCAATAAAACAGTTTTAATAAAACTTGTAATCCAATAAAATAATGACAGAAAATACCTCTTAAACTGAATTTAAATTTTGTTTAGAAAAGTCAGTTTAACCTTTTGGACCAGGCCACAGATATTAAGTGCTGTGCTTTTAACAGACAGTTCATCTGAGCTCAGATCTGTGCAGAATGAAATCATTTGAAAGCGTTAACTGTTTTGAATTGAAAGAGTCTGGACATGGATCTACAGATTTCTGCAGACTGCACTCCATAAATAACAGGGTTAAGGCTTCCAGGGATGATGTGGAACAGAATGGCACTGAGTTTCCTGTAGAAGGAGAACTGAGGGAAACGGTGGAGGATGATGACGATGAAGCCACTGATCAGCATCATCAGATACAGGACCAAATGAGTGCTGCAGGTCTTCAGAGCTTTACTGTTCAGAGACTTGTTTCTACTGGTCAGACACACCACAATGATCTTAGCGTAGGTGAGAACCATGCTGCCGATGGAGGCTGTGAACAAGACCACGGTGAAGGTCAGGCCGTAGACGTTGTTGATGAAGACGCTCTCACAGGACAGTTTGAAGAGAGAGGCGTTGTCGCAGTAAGGATTCATGATCAGAGTCCTGCATCTGTTCAGCCTCACTGTCAGACCCAGCAGAATCCCCACCAACACAAAGGCCACCCCCCAGGCAGACACTGTCAGCTTGACCACCATTCTGTTGGTCATGATGACGCTGTAGCGCAGGGGGTTACAGATGGCCACGTACCTGTCAAAGGCCATGGTCATCAGCACGGTATGGGAGGTTGTAGCAAATGTGTGAACGGTGAAGGCCTGGACCACACACTCGTAATAACTGATGACACGTTTAGAAGAAGGACGCAGCATATCTATGAGCAGACGAGGGACCAGGATGGAGTTGCCAACAATGTCATTTACAGAAAGGTTACAGAAAAGAAGGTACATGGGCTGGTGAAGCTTCCTGTCAGTGAAAATGAGGAGAATGATGCCCACATTCACAATGATTATAAACAAGTAGAACAGGAGGAAACAGAGGAAGACGGGGTACAGAGCGTCCTCTGACAGGTTCAAGTCCTCCAGCTGCAGCAGGAAGCTGTTCAATGTAAAGTTTTCCATCAACCTGAAAGAAAAAAACAGACATCACAAAAAATGAAATTGATGTGATGACAAAATATTATATTATAAGTGAGATGGCAAAGTATTTTGTAAAGACGTAAAGAATAACAACAACAAATGTAAAAGCCGTAAAACAAAATCAGATTTCAATTCAGAGAGGGAAACCACAGAGATGCTGGTACGAGGTCCTACCAGCAGGGAGGCGTCCGGTTCTACTGCCTTTTTCACCTGTCTGGTTCCAGGTTGCTGTTCTTCTGTGTGGGCATATTTTTATAGTCAGTTTTATTCTCAATGGACGTATTTTCCCTATGACCACTATGAAGTCATGATGATAATTATCAGTTGGGTTGGGTAACAGTGAAAAGTGACAGACCTCTTTTAATCTTTACAAACAAAACAACAGCACCAGCATCACAGTTCATCACAAACTACAGATAAATATCTAAATATTAATAAATAAATATCCCTCCATGAGCTACAAGATGTCGTAGAGAGGACTGCAGGTCCCAGTTATCCTGGAAGCTGGTTGTCTGGGACTCTACCTACTTAAGTAAACATTAAACGTATAGCCCTGTCGACCATTACATCTCAAATCCATCACTAAACCTTAATGGTGATTTTTCTCTGGGGGTCATCTTCCACGCATATTTAAATTAGAACGCAGATTTGAGTCTGAAAACTAGTTGCTCTCTGCTCTGACTAATTTCTACAACAAATCATTTAAATGACCTACGATGTATAAGTCCAAAGCTGTCAAAAGCTATTTAATTTCTGTAGATAGAAGCAACAATCTCATAATAAAAGGGCAAGGTGCCCCTGTGGAAATGGAACATAGAAGTGGTTTAATTAATAATGAAACAATTAATAATACCAATACTATAGAAATCTCATGTATATATGCTTTAAACAACACGTACTAATGTTATTATTTTTAGTGACTAGCCGACAGAATGCGCTGCTTAGTGAAAAAACGTATAGAAAAACAATATTTTTTAATGGCTGAGCTGGCGGTAAAAAAAACCCAAAACAAAACAAATGACAGGCCACTGACCCAGCACTGGAGTAAGGGACGTCTAACGAACGTCAGAGGTGTGTTCTCATTAACCGTAAGTAAAATATGATTTAAACTTACTAACGTGAGTAAATATCACATATTGATTATTACAAGCGAAATACGAAAACGTAAATAAATGGCCGTGTTTTCATATGTAAAACGTCTTCATATTATTCACGTTAGCACACAAGCTAATGCTAGCGCGGTTTGCGCGAACGTTAGCATGTAGCGTTCTAGAAAGTTCTACGTATATATCTCCATTGCTTTATGACTTCTAGTGTTAGGCCTCAGTTATCGACGGAGTTTGGAGGGAACTTTAACATGCTAACGGCCGAATCGGCGAGGAGCACCAAAACGCCAGAGGCAGGTTTTAATTTATGAATATTATTATTCTATTTAACTGAGAATAAAACATAGTCCAATACCTTTCGATTGTGTTTAAAAATGATTGCAGAAGACCGTTATAACTGAAGACGTTTTAAATTATTCCGGTCATATTAGCATACTCTTTAATATTCATTCCTTAACCCCCATTACTAACGTTAGCGTTGTAGCTCGGGCAGGTCAATGATCCAAACTTGTGTAAATTCATACTTAGCTAGTGCTATTAAGTCACGTTAAACAACACTTTGTTTTCAGTAAGAGTTTGCACTTTCGTTATATTATGTTATATCATATTATATTATATAATATTGTAAGTAAAAAAACCCGATTAAATCTGGTGGAAGTGATGATGCGATGTGGTTGCGAACATTCACGTGAATATTTCCCTGATTAAAAAGTAAATTTACTATAGCTAGTCAAACCACAAGCACTAATACTGCTATATTGGCAAATTAATTCTGAAAAACTCAAATAAATAATCAGTGATGTTGCTGTGTAACATAATGTATCTTGTGATTACACAATGTAAAATAAGAAATTGTTTGATGTAACCTATATAAAACGTGTATTTTTCAAAAGCTTTGGTAAGGAAAAGAACAACAAATCAATTTGGTAATATGGAAACATTTACCGTACATCTTGATCTTCTCACAGGTCTCACAGAATGGTGGAAGTGATGATGCGATGTGGTTGCGAACATTCACGTGAATATTTCCCTGATTAAAAAGTAAATTTACTATAGCTAGTCAAACCACAAGCACTAATACTGCTATATTGGCAAATTAATTCTGAAAAACTCAAATAAATAATCAGTGATGTTGCTGTGTAACATAATGTATCTTGTGATTACACAATGTAAAATAAGAAATTGTTTGATGTAACCTATATAAAACGTGTATTTTTCAAAAGCTTTGGTAAGGAAAAGAACAACAAATCAATTTGGTAATATGGAAACATTTACCGTACATCTTGATCTTCTCACAGGTCTCACAGAAGTTTTTGTTTCATCACCGTAAAGATGTCGCACAACAGAGATGCTGGTAAGTACAAAGTTTGCTGTTTTTGGAATTACATCATACTTTACAAAATATATCATTTGTTTATCAGCAAAACAAAGCTCTGTTTAAAGGCTGCTAAAAGTTTAATAATCATTGTGTGCTGAGAAATAAGATTGAATCAATAGAATTAAATGAATAGGATTGAAATAATCCAAACAACAAATGCTGGAGTACAAAGGAACCAAGACAAAGTCCCAATAAAAAAGGAAGGAGGGTCCTTTCCCAACACACACTCACACACACAAACTGCCCTGAGGGAGGGTCACTAAGAAAACAGTTTATCTATTTATTTTTTTACCAGCATTGCTTATATACAGACATTGCTTGAATACCTTTTACACTCATTACTGACAAAAATCCACCTTAGTGCCACCAAAAAAAGAGTTTTGTTTGAAATATTTCTGTTCTCCAGTTTTTTGCACATATTTACACTTATGACTTGTGAGTGTACATATGTAGGTTTAGTGAGTTGTTTTTAAGATGCAACTCAGGTTTTACTTACTTGTGATTCTGAACTCAAGTTCTAATAATAAGTAGATACTCTTAAAAGCTGTTTATAATAGTTAAAAAACTATTTTTTGAATTCAAAATATCATGTGCGTTGTTTAATGTATTAATGACTGATGCAGAACTATTTTAGTACTGCTACTAGTGGTTTGAAATCTTTTCCATACTGTGTATTTTCTATGTTTACTTTGTGTAAAGTAATGCTTGTGAATTATTATTTATGGTAAATTCTGAAATGATTTAATGAATGATAAAACCTTTAGTAACTCACATGAAAACTCAAAGGCAAGATTTTAATAATATAATGTAGTAAGGACCTTATGCAATCAGGGCCCAAGTGTAAAATGTGCTATGTCAATAAAACAGTTTTAATAAAACTTGTAATCCAATAAAATAATGACAGAAAATACCTCTTAAACTGAATTTAAATTTTGTTTAGAAAAGTCAGTTTAACCTTTTGGACCAGGCCACAGATATTAAGTGCTGTGCTTTTAACAGACAGTTCATCTGAGCTCAGATCTGTGCAGAATGAAATCATTTGAAAGCGTTAACTGTTTTGAATTGAAAGAGTCTGGACATGGATCTACAGATTTCTGCAGACTGCACTCCATAAATAACAGGGTTAAGGCTTCCAGGGATGATGTGGAACAGAATGGCACTGAGTTTCCTGTAGAAGGAGAACTGAGGGAAACGGTGGAGGATGATGACGATGAAGCCACTGATCAGCATCATCAGATACAGGACCAAATGAGTGCTGCAGGTCTTCAGAGCTTTACTGTTCAGAGACTTGTTTCTACTGGTCAGACACACCACAATGATCTTAGCGTAGGTGAGAACCATGCTGCCGATGGAGGCTGTGAACAAGACCACGGTGAAGGTCAGGCCGTAGACGTTGTTGATGAAGACGCTCTCACAGGACAGTTTGAAGAGAGAGGCGTTGTCGCAGTAAGGATTCATGATCAGAGTCCTGCATCTGTTCAGCCTCACTGTCAGACCCAGCAGAATCCCCACCAACACAAAGGCCACCCCCCAGGCAGACACTGTCAGCTTGACCACCATTCTGTTGGTCATGATGACGCTGTAGCGCAGGGGGTTACAGATGGCCACGTACCTGTCAAAGGCCATGGTCATGAGCACGGTGTG